GTCTCCGAGATAAGAGCATTCGCCTGACACTTCCCATGTCAGAGCACTTCATCTTCTGTGTATCAATCCCCAGCAGAGAAAACACGCAGGCGCTGATAAAGAGAAAACCGTTCCAGACAGGGGGACAAAAATAGTGTTGCCAGAGCCAGCCCCGCTCCCACCAGCACCCCACGGCCACAACACTGGCCAGTGCCTCGAGCCACCCAAAAATGGGGTGCTGGAACCCCAGCCAGTGCCTCAATCCACCCAAAAATGGGGTGGTGGAACCCCAGCCAGCGATGCTGAACCCAGCCAGTGGTGCTCAGGGGTTCTTCATTCAGGTGGGTGTCCCTGTGCCCAACCACAGCCCCTGTGGTACCTGATGCACCCAGGAGGCAGCTGCTGCCCCTTCTCAGGGTCTGTTTGTGCCAGGGAATAAATCCCATCCGCTCCTCAAATGCCTCATCCTTCCTCCTCCTCCTTATCCCGAGGTGGAGCTGATGGGGGCATGGGTAAGGGGACACTGGGAACGCAGGGTGGGAGGATACTGGGAATGTGGGGCAGGGGGCATGCCAGGGATGCAGGGCAGGCAGAGCCAGTGCCATACTCACACTCACATTGACACAGCACCAAAAAAGAGGAGGGAAAAGGTGATTTTTCAAACTAAGCACACAGCATTGTTGTGTGAGAACAGGGAAAATGATGCTGAGAGGGACTGGGAGGCCTGGATATACTGTGTGTCCACACTGTCCACACTTGGGACAAGGCCCAAAGCCAGTGGGCTGTGTCCTCACATGGGAACCAACAGGCAGCAGGAAGCAATCCCACCCTTCTGCTCCCTGGATTCAGCCACATCCCCCTACCTGCATGCTGGGAGGTTAAGAAGAGCCAGAGCCAGCCTGGGGGGTTGTCCTGGAGAGTATGGGAGCAAAGTCCACGGGCTCCAGCTCTCTGTGGGATCCCCCAGCACGTGAACACCCCCCAGGTATCTCACCTGGCTGTCGGTCCCAGGCAGGCGGTGCCCGGTTATCACTGGAGGAGGGTTTATCTCCCAGATCATTAACCAAATTGGGCAGGGACCTGCCTGTTTGCTTTAGGCTGAAAAGAAAAGCAGCAGGAAGGAAAGAAGGAAGGAAGGAAGGGGGGAAAAGCCCCCGGTGAGCCAGGTGCACCTGCCTGGTGTGACACAGACCCCGGTGCTCCAATTGCTGCCTAAACACTGGGTGCGGGGCTGCTCCCTGCCCCTGGGGCTGCCTGGCTGTGCCTCAGCTTATCTCCCCATCAGAGATTCCAAAGGAATAGGCTGAGCTTGGCCAGGGAGCAAAGATTAATCCTGTCATCACACCACGGCCATGCACCTGCGATCAATGGCTGAGCATGGCTGGCACTCACGTCCCTGTGGATCTTGAGGATTCTGGGTGGGCACATGGGAGGAAGGAAGCTGTGAGGCATCACCCTGACATAGGGTGTGATGGAGATGAATGGCAAGAGCCCCTAAGCAAGGTGACCCACAGCTTTCCTATGGCCAGGGAAATTAATTGCAGTCCCGGGAGCAGCACGGAGCCAGGCCAGCTCCTGCAGCCACCCACGTTTGCTCCTGGATGCTCTGGAGATGCAGCCACATCCAAGCACCCAGATTTACTTTCCTTGCAGGAGCAAGGCCTAGACAAACCCACTCATGCCATGCCATGCCATCCCAATCAGTTCCTGCATCCTTTGTCCCAGCTGCATCCACGTGATTTGAATCACATCTGAACAAACTGCTCTGCCCCTCATTGGAATCTGGACTCGGAGGTCCCCGCAGTGTTTGCAGCTGCCTGGATACTATCAGGATAAATACTGCTATGGGGGCGTCACGGGATCACATCCCAGTATCAGCCATGTTGCTCTGATTAAATACAGTGCCTGGTGCCAGCCCTGGGGGACCATGCGCTGGGAATGGTCCCCACACGAGCCCTGGTGATGGAGAGACTGGGAAAATGAGGACGGACTGGTGGTGTCTGCTCTCATCCCAGCACAGGATGTCCCATGGCATGGGAACACCCAGGGAGGAGGGAAGATGGAAGGGAGAATTGGGAAGGATGGATGAATGGATGGACCTCTCAGCCCGCGCCCTGCCAAGAGACAGAGCAGTTTGTCTGGATATGATTCAAGTCCTATGGATGCAGTTGGGGCAAAGGGATGTGGGAGCAGCTTGGGTTGGGATGGGAGGGGACAGGATGGGATGGGACGAGTAGGTTTGTGTGGGCCCCTTCTGCGCTTCCTTCCTGCTCACTCCCCCAAGGAAAGCAAAAGTAGGTGCATGGATGTGGCTGCATCTCTGGAGCATCCAGGAGCAAATGCAGGCGGCTGCAGGAGCTGGCCTGGCTCTGTGCTCTCCCGGCAGTGGGATGGATCCATCCATCCATGGGTACCCAACCTCCCAGGGCTCCCCCGCTCTAGTCCAGGGAAAGTCAAGCCAGAGAAGCCCCAGTTCCCCCTGGCAGCCCTGGCCCGTCCCCGCCGCGTGCCCCAGCTGCTGTTTTTAGAAGCGGCGAGTGCGCGGCGGAAGGAATAAATCCTGACAACTCAACTAGTGAAATGATGTGATGGCACCGCTCCGATAAGATGGAGGGAGCCGATTGGGAAGAGTCTTAAGCTGTGAACACGCAGCATCTCCACTCTTCACCTCCGCTCACAAAGGGAAATCTCTCCAAAGGGGCTAAGGAGATTATCCCGGCTTTGCCATCCTGGGTGCTCGAGTAATCAGGGCAGCCTTGGGGACGACAAAGGAGTGAGGAGGGTTTAAATCGAGCCTTGCTGGGCTGTGCCTGCTTGGGCTTAGCCTGGGCTTGCTCTGGCCGAGCTGCCATGGACAGGAGAAGGGATAACTGTGGGAGAGCTGGGCTCTGTCCCTCAATTTGGGAGGCAGGGGACACCCCACTGCCCCAGTGGGGCGGGAGCCGAGGGGGGATTTCTGCCTTTATCACTCCTGCCCATCGCTTGCAATGTATTGATTTTTTTTTTGCCCGAGTACAAAAGCGACTCGTTATCGGG